GAAAAAGAAAAAAGAAGAAATTTTGCAAGTTCAATAACAATGAAAAAAATCCAGCATCAACTACCAAAGCAAAAATTGAGGAGGAACATTTTTTTCAATTGCAGTAACTAAAGCAAAGGAGGAGTGTTGAAGTTTGCTTTTAGTTACTGCAGTAACTTTTAGCAAAATAAGTTATTTAGTTTGAATAAATTTGAATTTTGAATTTTAGTTAGGTTGTTTTAGTTGTTGAGATATTTTAGGATTTTTAAATTTTAAATTATGCAGATTATGTGCTTTATGTTGGCTATTTAAAGCCTCTAAATGCTTAATAAAATTATTGAAAGCTATTAAAAGTCATTTCAATCCATGGAGAAACATTTTTAATCTTTTTGTGCTGCCCTATTTTTAAAAAACACCAACATGAGCCACTGAAAGCATTCCTTTTGTGATCTTGTGGGGCAGGCTATGGTCAAGCGTCTTGATTTATATGGCAAGTTAACCGGTCATGAAGGATGTGTAAACACGATAGACTTCAATGCCACTGGTGATGTTCTTGTCTCGGGCTCTGATGACAGAAGGGTAATACTATGGGACTGGGCAACGTCAACCTCAAAATTTTCTTATCCATCAGGTCACATGGACAATATTTTCCAGACCAAGTTCATGCCCTTCACGGATGATCGTAAAATAATAACTGCATCTGCTGATGGCCAGGTGATGTTCTCCCGTCCTATGCGCTATAATATGTGGAATATAGGAGACAAAAGATGTAGAGCAAATGTTTTATTGAAGAGGTCTACTGTCTGTTGCTGTCATGATTTCTACCTAATGGGGGAGTTCTCTTGTTGATAATATAACCAAATTCATGGTCTTAATAACAAAGAATTTGTAGCGAGTGCCAATAAATTGTGGACTTGAATAAAAAAGGAAGGGTCCTGTCATATTGTGGAAGAGGTCATGCATTCTAAAGATATTCAATAGTTACCTACTGGATTCCTTATGGCATCCTCTGTGCTTCTTTTGACTATCCTCTCAACTACATAAACTATGATTTGTGCACTCTGTTCCGAACACTTGGTTGTTTATAATTTTATTTCATTAATATCAGTATTAGTTGATCTGCTCCCTAAACATAGTAACTTCTTTGAATAGTTCTGGCATTAGTCTTTATGTGACATTTTCTTTTGTCCTCGTATTAATTTATAACCATATTTTATCTGCATATATACATGTACATCCATCTGTAGTTTCTGTATTATTAATCAATAGCTTAGACCTCTTGATTTGGTAGTTGAGAGTTATCTAACTTAGTGCCCGTTTGGATTGACTTATTTTAGGTGCTTTTAAGCCAAAATAGCTTTTAAGCAGTTTTGAAGTGTTTGGGTAAAGTTAAAAAGTGCTTATAAGCACTTATTTTAAAGCCAAAATCCATTTTGGCTTATAAGTCATAAGCCAAAAGCCAATCCAAACAGGCCCTTATTCTTCCATAATACTAGTAGTTGTAGTATTATTCTTGTACTTGTTTGTTCTTCGATTTCTGGTACTGTCTATTGTTTCTTTTACTTCGATTTTTGTTACTATTTGTTGTTTCTTGTACTTAGATTATAGTATTATTATGTTGTAGTAATTGTTCCTTTCTTCAGAATGCTTTGTCATGCTATCTTTAGTATTTTGTCGTGGCTTCTTCACTTCTGTTATTTCTTTTCCCCAACTGCTTTGATATGCCTGTCCTTGAGCTGAGAGGTAGTGGTAAGACCTGCGTATACACTACCCTTCCCATTCCTTAGACCCCACTTGTGGGATTGCACTGGGTATGTTGTTGTTGTAGTTGGCCCGCACTCTCTATTCTGTGGATACGCTATTCCTTCCAGCTATGGTATGGGGAAGGGGAGGTGAAATCTGCTCATTGATTTTATATTAGATGAGCGGCCGTACTATGATCGTTTGGGAGACTTAGACCTGCCGAGTTTGCCGCTTGATACTCCTAATTTGTCAAAGGCCAAAGAAGATGATTGTGGCTCTGACTTGTATTTGCTTATTTTTGATGTATTGCAAACACTGCTGCAGGTGAGGCTTGGTTTAGTGCTGGAGAATGGTCGGGTAGAAACAAAAAAAGTAGGTAAGCACCAAGGTCGTGTACATAAGCTTGCTGTTGAACCAGGAAGTCCCTACATACTTTATAGCTGCGGTGAAGATGGTTTTGTTCAACACGTAGGTTGCCACGTGCAGTACCTTGTTACATTGTTCTCTTTTCCCATGTTAATTTTCCATGACTTGCATTATTTTGCAGTATGATCTGCGAAGTAATTCTTCCTCAAAGCTTTTTCGGTGCTCTTCATTCACGGAAAACAATAAGCAGTCGGGCAGCATAAGGTTGAATGGCATAGTGATAGACCCAAGAAATCCAAATTATTTTGCTGTAGGAGGTTCCGATGAATATGCCCGTGTATATGACATCAGAATGTACCAGCTGGATGCAAGAACCAGTGCTGATAGGCCAATCGACACATTTTGTCCCCATCACCTGATTAAGACACACGATGTTCACATCACAGCACTGGCTTACTCAAACACAAGTGAATTGCTGGTCTCATACAACGACGAACTGATATACTTGTTTCAGAAGAACATGGGGTTGGGTCCAGTTCCTTTGTTGTTGCAAGGTGAAGATTTGAACAAGCTAGAAAAGCCACAAGTTTATTCAGGGCATAGAAATTCACAAACAGTTAAAGGAGTGAGTTTCTTTGGTCCCACCGACGAATATGTGCTGACCGGGTCTGATTGTGGGCATATATTTATCTGGAAGAAAAAGGACGCCAAGCTTGTCCGCGTGATGGTTGGTGATCGACACATTGTAAATCAGCTGAAACCCCATCCTTGTATCCCTGTTCTTGCTACATGTGGAATTGAAAAGACCATAAAGCTTTGGGCTCCAACATCTAAGGATGTTACTCCTTTGCCTCCTGATGTTCAAGAGGTGCAAATCTTAGTAGTTCACTTGGAAATTTTCATGTTTGAATATCTATAGTTAAGGTTTGTTCATGTCATCTATAGGGGCAGAGCCAAGTAAGGCCGAGGGGGTTCGGAAAATTACATTGTTTATACATGGTTAAATTTTCTTTTCATGTAGATATAATAGATGTTGAACCCCCTTTGGCGTCTTCCTTTGCTTACTTCTTCATACTTTCAACCCCTCTAGTAAAAATCTTGGCTTCGCCACTGGTTGTCTAATATCTGACCGACTCTTATAATTTCATTGCTTTGTCTTGATGTGAGCAGATAATGGAAGCTAATAGGCGTGGTCGAGAGGACCATTCACGGGTAACACTCACCCCGGACATGATAATGCATGTTTTACGTCTGCACAGGAGGCAAGCACTGGCTTATATTGAGAGACGAGAGAATTTGGGTTATGTCGACAGTGATGATGATGATGATGACGGAGGAGGAGGCGCTTACGTGTTGGGGTTTTCAGATGGTGAGGAGGGGGAAAATTCTGAATGCAGCATTAGCTAGTCATCATACTTCTCTTACCTGCCAGCGCGATTTTCTTCGTTCACTTTGTACCCCTTTGCTGAGGCCTTGTTTACATGATGGTGCTTGCTTCCAATTCTCAACAAACATGGTTAATAAGGTGAGTGGTGTCATCTGTAGCCACTTACCAAATTGAATAGTTCAATATGTAAATTCTTCTATCCTATATGCTGACATGTAAGAAGTAATGGTTTAATCTTTTTGACAAGTTGTTCCCTTTTCTTTGAACTTCATTATCTGGTGTCAATTTAACTTCAAAGCTACTATATAATGATGTGTTCTAACTAACACCAAGTGTTTAGTTACCATGCCCCAAAAGCCCCATGTCTTTCTTGGTTGGATAAACGAACCCAAAGTTAGATTAGCGGAATGCAACTTCTTGACCGATGAGCTTCAATGTGAGCTTCGAGAAAAGCGTGCAAAGCACACTAACCTAACTCAATGATGGACTTTTTATGGGGATTCAAGTTTGCGAAATGCTTTATCATTTTTACTGAAGAGTAAAACTCAACTGGCTTTTGACACAGGTGCAAAGCAAGTCTATACGGAAATGGACTTTGATATAGCCATAATTTCTTGATCAAACTTGAACAAAGTCTTTGTATAAATCGAACCTGATCAAGAGACGACGAAACCTTCAATATTACAATCACCTTTTAATATCGAGTTACTTCAGAATAACCTAATGCAACTCATGTATCATATAAATTTTAACAGAAGAAATAGTAATAATTCACATTACATGTTTGTTCCCTTTTATAAAGAAGGGAAAACCTAAGGAAATAATACATTACATAATCAAAGACAATATAACATATATCTAAGATTATTAAAACCATATACAACCTTTGACATAATAAAAGTAAAAGTAGCCACCATACATCTTTGTCCATAAATATATTCTCAACATTAAGAGTTTGAAAACAACCTAAAACTGTGAATGTTGTTGGAGTGACCTCTGTAGTGTGAACAAGATAAGAGAAGGGAGACTGAGATGATCCAGAAATATGAAGAGAAGATGTATTAATGTCCCAAAATAATAAGGAGGCGTAAGAGGTTGACAGTAATAAATACAAGTAGAAGTAGAAATTAGTCAAATCAAATACATGGAATAGTTTGACCAGATACTACATATCGTCTCATTACAAATAATTAATCAAACCTAATTTTAAGAGATGTGTGTATCTGATAACATCTTCATTAATATATGGTACAAAATTGAAGGAGAATAATTCTTATTAATTCCAATAAAATACATAGATAAAAATGCAACAAATATTGCAAACTACACCCTTTTCACATTACATATTTGTTCCCTTTGAAAAGAAAGGAATAATTAAGGAAATAGTAGACATAATCAAAGACATTATAACATATATCTAAGACTATTAAACCCATATACCACCCAAGACACATTAAAAGAAAAACTAACCACCACACATCTTTGTCCATAAAAATATTCTCAACATTAAGAGCTTGTACACAACCTAAAACTGTGAATGCTGTTGAATAATAAACAGAAATAATGATTGTACAAAACTTGATTGGCAAAGCAATGTAGAAATCATCAGAATCAAATTTTGAGAGTAGTACTGATAACACAGTTCCCATTGTGAAGACTGAATCATAAAGTGCTGCACCTATGAAAAACATCAACATCCATAACTCTGAATATTGTGGTTTTGATAGTAGAATAGGTAGTCCAGATTTGTCATCAAAGCCTCCTGGGATTGTGAAAACCGCAGCGAAGTTGATTGTGCATAGAAGTGTTGATAGAATGAGAGCTGGATTTCCTAAATCTTTGATTGCTTTCTCTGCTTCTATGCATACATTTGAATGATTTTGATCAAATAGCTCTTTTGGAGTCATGTTTTCATCATCCTTCATTGTCCATAAACGTGGATGAACACAATATTTTACACGCTTCATAAAAAAATATTCATTATAAGCCACTATAACCATAAAGATTTAGCGATTATGGATGTAATGACATTAATGATATTTTTACGGCAAAGATAAATCTATTGGCACTAAATGTAATTTCTTGTTGTAGTGAGCTAAGTGACTATGAAGGTGTAATTTGTCTGATTTTTGAATCTTATGGTTATAAACTAAATATATGTAGAATGTAATAACATGCATCTCATTTAATCGTGTGGTCTTAAATACATCACATGGAAAGTTGGAATTTAAAAGTTGTCAAAAAAAGGTAAGACAAACAAATTGAAACGGAGTGAGTATATTTTAGGTATAATACATAAATATGTTCTTTTAACTTGGTTTTAACTAACATACATGTCCTCCAACTTTAAGTGTGCACAAGTAGACACGTAAACTTGTATAAAATGGAACAAGTAGATACACACGTCCTATGTGACATAATACATGTATGACGCCACGTATGACATAATATTGTCATGTAGGATGCCATAGGGCGAATGTGTTTATTTGTTCAATTTTATACAAGTTTAAGTGTCTACTTTTGCACACTCAAAATTGGAGGGCGTCTGTAGAAGTCAAGTTAAAAGGCATATTTATGTATTATGCCTATATTTTATCATTCAATTATATATAAGATCAAGACTTAATAATCAGAAACACACCTAATGTATCTCGATTTAACGAATTTCTTACTTGAACTATCAAGAGTGGGAGTTTTCTACTTGAACTATCACCAATTTATTATCAGAACATATCTCAATATGCAACTATCAATTGTTCACTTTTTCTACCTAAACTATGTTGATATATCATGTAGAAAAAGTAAACAATTGATAGTTAAGATGTGTTTTGATATTAATTCAGATAGAAAAGTCACAAGTATGTAACTCGAAAAATCGAACCTTCCTGCTAAGAGCAAGTTAGAAAATACCTTAAACCATAGTACACCCCATGCCATGAGTATCAATGTTTTATAACCCCTTGTTGTTTTTTCAATTGGTGGTTCCTCTGTAGAAAATTTGAATGGTGATCCAACACTTGCTGCAGAATGCAATATGGTCTTTCCATGATGATCAATATCAACAAGCAACCTATCTATGTGTGATACATTTTTCATAATGTAATCAAATATGAACCTATTTTTTTGTTCTACTACAATATGTAGTATATTTTTTCCCTCTTCATCTATGGTTTCTATTGTTTGAGGGTAATTTTGTATAATTTCAATGATTAACTCATTTATACCAAGTTTTGTTGCTTGTATTAGTGGATTTTCTACACAATTATTTGCATAGAAATTCCAATCTTCTTCCTTAACCAATATTCTTGCTAATGTTAATGCAAGAATATGCTTTTGCTTTTCATCATCCATTACTCCCAACCATGCATTACCTACAAAAGCCAATGGTCAAAAACATATCTCAATATATTATTATGCAAGAATTAGTAATACATAAATTGTAATTCGGGAATTAATAGTCCAGAAAAAACCTTCAGAACGCCAGACATTTATATAGCGGCACTTATATTATAAGTAAAAAATAATTGTCACAATTTTTTTTATTTGTTGTAATGTACCATCCTTGTATGTAGTTTTCATGGAGATACCTTACCTAGTAGGAAATTAACAAATGAAGATCTTTTTCTTTTAATGAGAGCATGATCAATAGTAGTAGTCTGTGGATCCTCCAAGTTGTAATTAGGTTTTGACTCTTCATACATTGCTGGTATGCCTGTTCCATTATCAAAAGAAGAAACAAATTAATTTATATAGTTTAACTTATAGTCTGTTTGATCAAATTTTCAAAAATATATTTTTAAAAACACTTCTCAAAAGTCTCTTATTTCTTTCTCAAGTCAAATGATGTCACGTATATCGAAACGGATAGCATAATAGTTATGAAAATGTACTTATAGAAATATATAAAATAATGTCACATATATCGAGACAGATAGCGTAATAATTATGAAAAAATACTTACAGAAATATATAAAGGTTTCAAGGGTTTGCATAGGAAGAAAAGGGGCAGTCCCCATTTGTTGGAGTGCATAAATGGATCCACTCTTAAAAGACAAATGCTTTGTGGCCAATATATTTAATGCACTCCAACCCTTTTTGTCATGTTTTCTTGCTAATTCTGGATACATTTTCCACAATTGTATTGCAAAGTCTGGTCCTCATGCAAAATAAAATCATAGGTTAAAAATTATCTTTACACGATATCAGAGCTAGAGTTATGAAGTTAAACTTAAATAGTATATCACTTACAGTAACACTCGTGAGCTACGGCTGCATGAAGTACGTTGCTTCCATCGTTGTCATAGTAAATTCATCGCACAAATTATTATCCGCTAGAAAAGTAAACACTTCTTTTTCTCCATGCGCAGCCGCAACATAAATTGGTGTCTCTCCCTTACTATTCCTCTCGAATAAAATTTCGCTATCCAAACTCACCATCACCTTCATAATTTCTAATCGTCCGAACCTAGCAGCTTCGTGCAAAGCCGTGTTTCCATCTTTATTTTGAATCTTTAAATCTTGACCACTTATTGGTCGTTCCTCAATAAGTAATTTTAGCGCACTCACATTGCCATGAATGGCCATAAAATGGAGAATCGTGTCACCACGATTATCGATTGGGGAAACAACTTCTTCTCTCCAAAAATCGCGTAAAAGTTCAATCGATTTTGGATCGTTACACTTAGTTGCAGTGTAAGCTGCAGATTCACGATGACTTATTGAATTGGTGCGATTTCTTCCCATTATAGCTAACTTGCTAGTAGTAAAAAAAATTAACGAGTAATAAATAAAATAGAATATTTGGGTTTAACATAAATAAGTAGTCATTATGGAATAAAATTTTAATTATTTTACAAGTAACATACAGAATATTATTTGCTTAAAATATTAATATCTTCTAATTGAAATTTGGAACAACATTAAGTGTAGTGCAAGACGATTCCCTCCCTGTGATAAACATGGACGACCATGTTTCAATTTACGTGACATATATAAAATTCAAAAGTTAATTAAATTTTTATGCCTTTTAACTATTTTAAATTATTAATTATTGTAATTATAGTGTTTTTTCTTCATTTTCAAATAATATATGTTACTATTTTTTTTTCTCCAATTTGTGCGACTAATAAAATTTTGAGAGAATCATTTTTTTATGTCTTTTCAAATATTTTAAGTTATTTATTATTGTGAGTTTTTGTCACAAGTTTTTTTTATATTGAATGAACTAAGTCTATTTTTCACATCAAAATAGATTTGAATTCATTTCGAGGTGTCTATTACAAAATGCACTCATCTTGTAAGGAGGTTGGTAGAGCAATATAGAGAGAGAAACTTACATATGATGTTCATTAACTTAGAGATACACCGAATGAAACACACTAAATCATGACAGATAGATCATGACAGAAAGATCTCAGATACATGGTAGAAAACAACTCGTATATATTTAATAAAAAATACATATACATTTAATAAATAAATCAGATACATGAAATAATCTGACCAGATACATATATGACATCACCATCTCACATACACTAAATGAAAAATACTACATACCATCTCATTACAAAGCTTTTCTATACTCTTTTTTGTCTTTCCTCACTCTTCACAGAAAAACAATACATTAATTATTTTACAAGCAAGATTCAGAATATTATTTGCTTTAAATATTAATATCTTATCTTTGAAATTTGGAATAAATATTAAAGTATAGTGCAAGCCAACTCCCTCCGGCTGAGACAATGAGGAAAAACATTTATGATACTAACAATTTTAGGGTCATTTTTAACATATGCATGATACGGCATGCTATAATAAAAAAGAGATTGAGGAGGTTCATAAGAAATGAGCTGAAGGTACTCCATTAGAATTTAGTTAATTATGTTCTTGTATGGACGAGATGTTCCACTTTACTTGGGAGTGTTGTTGTTCGAGGCTTTTTGGTCTCTACTTTAATGTCTGATGTAGTTCTTTATAAGTTCTTGGAATTTCGAAAATTTAATTACTTCTGACACACTATTTTCCATGGATATTTGCTTACACTTCTTTTTTATACTTAAAATCTCTCTATGAATCATATTTTTTGTATAACAAAAACGAAAATTTAAAAATATTGCCTTTAAGATTTTAGAGCAACGCTTTGCCTTAAGATAAAATGTTCTTAACAATGTAGTGTATGTATCAAAAATACGAATATTACCAAATGATCATATGTAATCTTAATAAAATAGTTCAATCCCGTGCGAAGTACGGATAATTTACCTAGTTCTTATTAATTCCAACAAAATACATAGATAAAAATGTAACAAATCTTGCAAACTACACCCTTTTCACATTACATATTTGTTCCCTTTAAAAAGAAAGGAATAATTAATGAAATAGTAGACATAGTCAAAGACAATATAACATACATCTAAAACTATTAAACCCATATACCACCCAAGACACATTAAAAGAAAAACTAACCACCACACATCTTTGTCCATGAATATATTCTGAACATTAAGAGCTTGTACACAACCTAAAACTGTGAATGCTGTTGAATAATAAACAGAAATAATGATTGTACAATACTTGATTGGCAAAGCAATGTAGAAATCATCAGATTCAAATTTTGAGAGTAGTACTGATATCACAGTTCCCATTGTGAAGACTGAATCATAAAGTGCTGCACCTATGAAAAACATCAACATCCATAACTCTGAATATTGTGGTTTTGATAAGAGAATAGGTATTCCAGATTTTTCATCAAAGCCTCCTGGGATTGTGAAAACCGCGGCGAAGTTGATTGTGCATAGAAGTGTTGATAGAATGAGAGCTGGATTTCCTAAATCTTTGATTGATTTCTCTGCTTCTTCGCATACATTTGAATGATTTTGATCAAATAGCTCTTTTGGAGTCATGTTTTTATCATCCTTCATTGTCCATAATCGTGGATGAACACAATATTTTACACGCTTCACAAAAAATATTATTCATTGTAAGCCACTATAACCATAAAGATTTAGCGATTCTAGATGTAATGACATTACTGATAGTTTCGCGGCAAAGATAAATCTATTGCCACTAAATGTAATTTCTAGTTGTAGTGAGCTAAGTGATGATGAAGGTGTAATTTGTTTGATTTTGACTTGGCATGAGAAGTTTAAGAAAGTAGAGAAGATTTTTGAATGTTATGATTATAAACTAAACATATGTAGAATGTAATAACATGCATGTCATTTAATCGTATGGTCTTAAATATGTCACATGAAAAGTTGGAATTAAAAAGTTGTCAAAAAAGAAAAGTAAGACAAACAAATTAGAACAACGTGAGTATATTTTAGGTATAATACATACATATGTCCTTTTACCTTGACTTCAACTGATATCCATGTCTTTCAACTTTAGGTGTGTGCAGGTAGAAACTTAAACTTGTATAAAATGGAACAAGTAGATACACACGTCCTACGTATCATAATACATGTATGACGCCACATATGACATAATATTGTCATGTAGGATGCCACGTAGCACGAATGTGTTTATATGTTTAATTTTATACAAGTTTAAGTGTCTGCTTTTGCACACTCAAAGTTGAAGGGCATAAAAGTCTGTTGAAGACAAGTTAAAAGGCATATTTATGTATTATGTCTATATTTTATCATACAATTATATGTAAGAGCAAGACTTAATAATTAGAAACACACCTAATGTATCTTGATTTATCGAATTTCATACTTGAACTACTACCAATTTATTATCAGAACATATCTCAATATGTAACCTTCAATTGTTCACTTTTTCTACCTGAAATATGTTGATATATCAGGTAGAAAAAGTAAACAATTGATAGTTAAAATGTGTTTCGATACTAATTCAGATGGAAAACTCACAAGTATGAAACTCGAAAAATTGAACCTTCATGCTAAGAGCAAGTTAGAAAATACCTTAAACCATAATACACCCCATGCCATGAGTATCAATGTTTTATAACCCCTTGTTGTTTTTTCAATTGGTGGTTCCTCTGTAGAAAATTTGAATGGTGATCCAACACTTGCTGCAAAATGCAATATGGTCTTTCCATGATGATCAATATCAACAAGCAACCTATCTATGTGTGATACATTTTTCATAATGTAATCAAATATGAGCCTATTTTTTTGTTCTACTACAATATGTAGTATATTTTTTCCCTCTTCATCTATGGTTTCCACTGTTTGAGGGTAATTTTGTATAATTTCAATGATTAACTCATTTATACCAAGTTTTGTTGCTTGTATTAGTGGATTTTCCACACAATTATTTGCATAGAAATTCCAATCTTCTTCCTTAATCAATATTCTTGCTAATGTTAATGCAAGAATATGTTTTTGCTTTTCATCATCCATTACTCCCAACCATGCATTACCTACAAAAGCCAATGGTCAAAAACATATTTCAATATATTATTACGCAGGAATTAGCAATACAAGAAATTGTAATTCGTGAATTAATAGTGAAAGATATAGAAGTTTGATTATTACTAAACTCCTTGATCTTCTTTAATACATGGATATTTTTTGTCATATAGTTATTATTTTTTTGGTTTCCCACCCGGTGTTCGGATTCCACATTGGAGCTCTGACTAAATTCAGAGTCATATAATTAATTGTGTAAGTCATGTATTTCTAATACACGTGTATTCTTATTTCACATTCGATAATGCAAAACTTATGCATTCAAAATATATATTTTTTAAAAAAAACTTTATGAGGACATCCATAATAAGTTGTGGAAACATTACGTATAGTCCCATCATTTTAAAGGCATATTTTTGCATTTAGGGACCTCTAAGTTGGCCCCTAAATACAAAAATATGCCTTAAAAATAGTGGGTCTATACGCAATGTTCCCCAACTCATTACGGAGGTCCTCATAAAGTTTTTTTAAAAAAAATAACTTTTGGGTGCCATTAAGCCGCCAACATCCATGGGCTAATACACACGAAAAACCAAGAAATTCGGATAATTCTTAAAGTTGGCCCCTAAATTCAAAAATATGCCTTAAAAATGATGAGATTATACGTAATGCTTCACCAACTCATTACAAATGTCCTCATAAAGTTTTTTTTAAGAAAAACCTTCCGGGCGCCAACATCCATTGCTAATTTATACACATGAAAAACCAAAAAAGTTGGGTAAATATTCTCAAAATTAAAGTTGGCCCTTAAATATAAAAATATGTCTTAAAATGGTGGGACAATACGTAATGCTCCCCCAAATCCAACTCATAATTGTCACAATTTTTTTTTATGTGTTGTAATGTACCATCCTTGTATGTAGTTTTCATGGAGATACCTTACCTAGTAGGAAATTAACAAATGAAGATCTTTTTCTTTTAATGAGAACATGATCAATAGTAGTAGTAGTATGTGGATCCTCCAAGTTGTAATTAGGTTTTGACTCTTCATACATTGCTGGTATGCCTGTTTCATTCTCAAGTCAGATGATGCCACATATATTGACACGAATAGTGTAATAGTTATGAAAAAGTACTTACAGAAATAAATAAAGGTTTCAAGGGCTTGCATAGGAAGAAAAGGGGCAGTCCCCATTTGTTGCAGTGCATAAATGGATCCACTCTTAAAAGACAAATGCTTTGTGGCCAATATATTTAATGCACTCCAACCCTTTTTATCATGTTTACTTGCTAATTCTGGATACATTTTCAATAATTGTATTGCAAAGTCTGGTCCTCATGCAAAATAAAACCATAGGTTAAAAATTATGTTTGCACGGTATCAGAGTTAGATTTATGAAGTTAAACTTAAATAGTATATCACTTACCGTAGAACTCGTGAGTAACGGCTGCATGAAGTACGGTGCTTCCATCGTTCCTCGTCATAGTAAATTCATCACACAAATTATTATCCGCTAGAAAAGTAAACACTTCTTTTTCTCCATGAGCAGCCGCGACATAAATTGGTGTCTCTCCCTTAGTATTCCTCTCGAATAAAATTTCGCTATCCAAACTCACCATCACCTTCACAATTTCTAATCGTCCGAACCTAGCAGCTTCGTGCAAAGCCGCATTTCCATCTTTATTTTGAATCTTTAAATCTTGACCGCTTATTGGTCGTTCCTCGATAAGTAATTTTAGCGCACTCACATTTCCATGAATGGCGATAAAATGGAGAATCGTGTCACCACGATTATCGATTGGGGAAACAACTTCTTCTCTCCAAAAATCGCGTAAAAGTTCAATCGATTTTGGATCGTTGCACTTAGTTGCAGTGTAAGCTGCAGATTCACGATGACTTATTGAATTGGTGCGATTTCTTCCCATTATAGCTAACTTGTTAGTAGGTAAATATTTTAATGAGGAATAAAATACTATATTTGGGTTAAACATAAATAAGTATTGTCACTATGGAATAAAATATTAATTCTTTTACAAGCAAAATTCAGAATATTATTTGCTTTAAATAGTAATATCTTCTAATTGAAATTTGGAACAACATTAAGTGTAGTGCAAGACTACTCCCTCCGTGTGATACGCATCATCCGCTAACTCCTATTTCAATTTACGTGACATATATAAAATTTTAAAAGTCAATTAAATTTTTATGTCTTTCAATTATTTTAACTTGTTAATTATTGTAATTATAGTATTTTTTCGTCATTTTCAAATAATATATGTTATTATTTTTTTCCCCAATTTGTGCGACACTAATAAAATTTTGAGAGAATCATTTTTTTTATGTCTTTTCAAATATTTTAAGTTGTTTATTATTGTGAGTTTTTGCCCAAAGTTTTTTTATATTGAATGAATTGAGTCTATTTTTCACATCAAAATAGATTTGAATTCATTTCGAGGTGTCTATTACAAAATGCACTCATCTTGTAAGGAGGTTGGTAGAGCAATATAGAGAGAAAGAGACTTACATATGATGTTCATTAACTTAGATATACATGGAAGGAAATACACTAAATGACCATAAAGATTTAGCGATTATGGATATAATGACATTAATGATATTTTTACGGCAAACATAAATCTATTGGCACTAAATGTAATTTCTTGTTGTAGTGAGCTAAGTGACGATGAAGGTGTAATTTGTCTGATTTTTGAATCTTATGGTTATAAACTAAATATATGTAGAATGTAATAACATGCATCTCATTTAATCGGGTGGTCTTAAATACGTCACATGGAAAGTTGGAATTAAAAAGTTGTCAAAAAAAGGTAAGACAAACAATTTGAAACGGAGTGAGTATATTTTAGGTATAATACATAAATATGTACTTTTAACTTGGTTTTAACTAACATACATGTCCTCCAACTTTAAGTGTGCACAACTAGACACGTAAACTTGTATAAAATGGAACAAGTAGATACACACGTCCTATGTGACATAGTACATGTATGACACCACGTATGACATAATATTGTCATGTAGGATGCCATAGGGCGAATGTGTTTATTTGTTCAATTTTATACAAGTTTAAGTGTCTACTTTTGCACACTCAAAATTGGAGGGTGTCTGTAGAAGTCAATTAAGTTAAAAGGCATATTTATGTATTATGCCTATATTTTATCATTCAATTATATATAAGATCAAGACTTAATAATCAGAAACACACCTAATGTATCTCGATTTAACGAATTTCATACTTGAACTATCAAGAGTGGGAGTTTTCTACTTGAACTATCACCAATTTATTATCAGAACATATCTCAATATGCAACTATCAATTGTTCACTTTTTCTACCTAAACTATGTTGATATATCATGTAGAAAAAGTAAACAATTGATAGTTAAGATGTGTTTTGATATTAATTCAGATAGAAAAGTCACAAGTATGTAACTCGAAAAATCGAACCTTCATGCTAAGAGCAAGTTAGAAAATACCTTAAACCATAGTACACCCCATGCCATGAGTATCAATGTTTTATAACCCCTTGTTGTTTTTTCAATTGGTGGTTCCTCTGTAGAAAATTTGAATGGTGATCCAACACTTGCTGCAAAATGCAATATGGTCTTTCCATGATGATCAATATCAACAAGCAACCTATCTATGTGTGATACATTTTTCATAGTGTAATCAAATATGAACCTATTTTTTTGTTCTACTACAATATGTAGTATATTTTTTCCCTCTTCATCTATGGTTTCTATTGTTTGAGGGTAATTTTGTATTATTTCAATGATTAACTCATTTATACCAAGTTTTGTTGCTTGTATTAGTGGATTTTCTACACAATTATTTGCATAGAAATTCCAATCTTCTTCCTTAACCAATATTCTTGCTAATGTTAATGCAAGAATATGCTTTTGCTTTTCATCATCCATTACTCCCAACCATGCATTACCTACAAAAGCCAATGGTCAAAAACATATCTCAATATATTATTACACAGGAATTAGTAATACAGAAATTGTAATTCGGGAATTAATAGTCCAGAAAAAACCTTCAGGACGCCAGACATTTATATAGCGGCACTTATATTATAAGTAAAAAATAATTGTCACAATTTTTTTTATTTGTTGTAATGTACCATCCTTGTATGTAGTTTTCATGGAGATACCTTACCTAATAGGAAATTAACAAATGAAGATCTTTTTCTTTTAATGAGAACATGATCAATAGTAGTAGTCTCTAGATCCTCCAAGTTGTAATTAGGTTTTGACTCTTCATACATTGCTGGTATGCCTGTTCCATTCTCAAAAGAAGAAACAAATTAATTTATATAGTTTTACTTATAGTCTGTTTGATCAAACTATTGAAATATATTTTTAGAAATACTTCTCAAAAGTCTGTTATTTCTTTCTTATGAAGTCAAATGATGTCATGTATATCGAGATGCGTAATAGTTATGAAAAAATACTTACAGAAATATATAAAGGTTTCTAGGGCTTGCATAGGAAGAAAAGGGGCAGTTCCCATTTGTTGGAGTGCATAAATGGATCCACTCTTAAAAGACAAATGCTTTGTGGCCAATATATTTAATGCACTCCAACCCTTTTTGTCCTGTTTTCTTGCTAATTCTGGATACATTTTCAACAATTGTATTGCAAAGTCTGGTCCTCATGCAAAATAAAATCATAGGTTAAAAAATTATCTTTACACGGTATCAGAGCCAGATTTATGAAGTTAAACTTAAATAGTATATCACTTACAGTAACACTCGTGAGCTACGGCTGCATGAAGTACGTTGCTTCCATCGTTCCTCGTCATAGTAGATTCATCACACAAATTATTATCCGCTAGAAAAGTAAACACTTCTTTTTCTCCATGCGCAGCCGCAACATAAATTGGTGTCTCTCCCTTACTATTCCTCTCGAATAAAATTTCGCTATCCAAACTCACCATCACCTTCATAATTTCTAATCGTCCGAACCTAGCAGCTTTGTGCAAAGCCGTATTTCCATCTTTATTTTGAATCTTTAAATCTTGACCGCTTATTGGTCGTTCCTCGATAAGTAATTTTAGCGCACTCACATTGCCATGAATGGCGATAAAATGGAGAATCGTATCACCACGATTATCAATTGGGGAAACAACTTCTTCTCTCCAAAAATCGCGTAAAATTTCAATCGATTTTGGATCGTTACACTTAGATGTAGTGTAAGCTGCAGATTCACGATGACTTATTGAATTGGTGCGATTTCTTCCCATTATAGCTAACTTGCTAGTAGTAAAAAAAATTAACGAGGAATAAATAAAATAGAATATTTGGGTTAAACATAAATAAGTAGTCATTATGGAATAAAATTTTAATTATTTTACAAGTAACATACAGAATATTATTTGCTTAAAATATTAATATCTTTTAATTGAAATTTGGAACAACATTAAGTGTAGTGCAAGACGATTCCCTCCCTGTGATAAACATGGACGGCCATGTTTCAATTTACGTGACATATATAAAATTCAAAAGTTAATTAAATTTTTATGTCTTTCAACTATTTTAAATTATTAATTATTGTAATTATAATGTTTTTTCTTCATTTTCAAATAATATATGTTACTATTTTTTTCCCCAATTTGTGCGACACTAATAAAATTTTGGGAGAATCATTTTTTTTATGTCTTTTCAAATATTTTAAGTTGTTTATTATTGTGAGTTTTTGCCACGAGTTTTTTTATATTGAATGAACTAAGTCTATTTTCACATCAAAATAGATTTGAATTTGTTTCGAAGTGTCTATTACAAAATGCACTCATCTCATCTCGTAAGGAGATTGATAGAGCAATATAGAGAGAGAAAGAGACTTACATATGATGTTCATTAACTTAGAGATACACGGAAGAAAACGCACTAGATCATGACAGAAAAATCTCAAATACATAAAATAACATTCTCAGATACATTATGGTAGAAAATAATTCATATATATTTAATATAAAATGCAGATAGATTTAATAAATAAATTAGATACATTTAATAAATAAATTAAATACATGAAATAATCTGACCAGATACATAAATGACATCACCATCTCACATACACTAAATGAAAAATACTACATACCATCTCATTACAAAGCTTTTCTATACTCTCTTTTGTCTTTCCTCACTCTTCACAGGAAAAAACAATACATTAATTATTTTACAAGCAAGATCCAGAATATTATTTGCTTTAAATTATTAATATCTTATCTTTGAAATTTGGAATAAATATTAAAGTATAGTGTAAGATAACTTCCTCCATGTGATACGCATGTCCGGCAAGAGGGGAGCCACTAAGGCCCAGCAAAATTGTTTAGAATCACAACATAATCACATAAGTGAAGACTTAAGTCTAGAAAAATAGAAAAATTTACACAAAACTATTTTCAATCAATTGAACCCAAAAATTATTTATTTTATATGTTGTTTGCATATATAGTAAAATTATTAAATCTATAAACTATGAAAGGAAGTAGTTGAGATGACATTGAGGAGGAGTATGTCTATTTTTGAGAATCGGTTCGAACTCATGTCAAAGTGTTCTACTACAAAAGACATTCATCTTATAAGCAAACCGTGGAGCAATATAAGAAAGGAAAAAGAGACTTACACATGAAATTCATTAACTTAGAGATCGTTTATATGACAAAGTTCCAAGAAAGATTTTATCAGCATACACTAATTAAGGCAATTAATTAAAGATAAAAGCGATATTGATGATCTGAATAATTAAAGAAAGTTGGATGAGACTTATAGCAATTCCAAGTAGTGGTCGGGTTGCACCAGGGAGTAGGAATCAACTCTTAATCTATTTTTATTTATCTTGGTGATCGATGAAATGACGCAAAATCTTATTCGACGAAAGGTGTCATGGTACATATGTTATTTGG